AAAAATACAAGGAAAATTAGCGAGGCATGGTGGTGCGTGTCTGTAGTCCCAGCTACTCAGGAGGCTGAGGCAGGAGAATCACTTGAATCCAGGAGGCAGAGGTTGCAGTCAGCCAAGATCACACCACTGCACTCCAGCCTGGTGACAGAGCAAGACTCCGTCTCAAATAAAATAATAAAATAAAATAAAATAAAATATTCTTTTCTCTTCCCTACATCTAAAATGTAATGTAATAAAATATAGATAATTGAGAGTCTTGAAACTCATTTTCTAGCCCTGGCTCAGTCACAAATTTGCTGTATGATTTTAGATACTGCTTGACTTCTCCAGGTTTTAGTTTCCTTAGGTAAAATGAGGGTAGTCATAGGTGATTCACCTCTTAAGTCTTAAGATCTATGAAATTCTGTTTATTTTTCAAGACCACTCCTCCCGTAAAGCTTTCTCCACTGTTTTGTGTTAATTCCTTACTACTCTGAATTTCTTTAAACTTTTTAATAACAAAATTTAATTTTCCATTCACAGTGAAGTCATATTACTGTCCCTTATCTTGAGCACCTGAGTACCTGGGGGTGTGGTAGGTGTCCTTCTTATTTAATAACAAGTTATTTTTCCTCCTTCAAAGCTTTGTTCCGTCGAAGCTTGTGCCATCAGACGGCATTAGTTACTACCTCTCCAAGGGGTTGTCATTTACTGGTCACTCTCAATCATTCTCTTTACTCCCTGGTGATTTTAACACCTGAGAGGGTCCCCCACTTTATCTTTCCCAATGATACCGCCTGGATGATCCGTCCAACACCCAGTCCTCTCTGATTCTTGATCACACCGTGTCTTCACCTTTTCCACTTCAGAAAGTCCCATGGCCACGTTTTTTACCTTGCTGACCCTGACAATTCTACCATTTTCAAAATCTGTTTCCAGCACTCTTTCTGGATTACCACCTCCTATTCTTCTGGCTTATTTTTCTGACATATCCAGCAGGCAATGATTTGACCTCACTGATGTCTCTCATCAACACTATCACCTTACGCAAGCAGTCTTTCCCTTCTTGGTTTGCTTTCCTGTTTCTCTGGAAGAGATTTGATGCTCTATCATTATATCTGCTTCTTTGCAATCAGACAGGAATTCCCTCATCCATCACCCCCCAAACCAAACCTGTCAGCTTGCCTGCAAATGTATCCCTATTCTCTCTCTTCTCTCCTGTGGCTATGGATAAAGTGACCCTGTTCATATCTAAGGTTAACTCTGTCACTCAAGATGCCATGTTCTCTCATCTTCTTTAGGACCTTGCTGTCTTGCAACGTGATCCTCTCTCCAGCATCATCAAGTTCTCTCTGCTATGAAATTATCATCATTTGCAAATTAGGCTCTAGGATGCCTAATCTTTAGAAAAATATCTCTTCTTTGACTACATATTCCTCTTTTATCTGCAGTCCCATTTCTCTAGTCTTTCCAGCAAACCAGGGTAAAGCTATGCACTCTTGTGCTGCCATTCTGTCTATTACCCACTTCACTTAGGCTTCAATACCCTCTATACTCGGAAGCTGGCCTTGTTAAGTTCACCAGCGATCTCCATCTTGTTCAACCCCATCTTCCTTCTTCACCTTGCTTGACCTTTCAGGAGCACTTGCTACACTGAAAACACTCAGTGACTTCACACTCCTGTTTTTCCGCAACTTTACTGGCTTCTTCTTAATGACCTTTACTGGCTCTTCCTCTGCCTGACTTTCACCGTCTAGAGTTCACCTCAGGACAGTCATTCCCAAGGCATGAACCTATACGAGCAACATCAGCACCACTTGCGAACTTGTCAAAACTGCAAATCCTCAGCCTCACAATCGGTTTAATCTAAGAATCATCCTTGATTTTTCTTTTTGTCTTACACCTGCATCCTCTTGAGCAGCAAATCCTCCTGGCTTCGCCCTCGTGATATATTTCTAATTAATCTGCTTCTCACCGTCCCCCTTCGACCACCTTAGCCCATGTCTTCGGCAACTCTCATGTGTGCCGCTTCAGTTGCCACTTCCTTGCTTGCTTCTTTTCTCACTTCTCCCTTTCCCTGTCATGAGCTATTATCCTCACAGAGTGATCTTTTAAAAATAAAAATTAGCCATGTCACTACCCTGCTCAAAACCTTCCACTGATGTTTGAATAAAACTGCACTTAGAAACATTACATGATCTCACCTCTGCCCCTGTGTCTGATCTCACCTTCTTCTACTTTTTCCTTTAGTCCTTCTGGTCTAGACACATGCCTTCTTTTTTTTTTTTGAGACAGAGTCTTGCTTTGTCGCCAGGCGCCATGCTGGAGTGCAGTGGCGCAATCTTGGCTCACTGCAACCTCCGCCTCCCAGGTTCAAGCAATTCTCCTGTCTCAGCCTCCCGGGTAGCTGGGACTACAGGCGCACGCCACCACGCGCTAATTTTTTTTGTGTATTTTTAGTAGAGATGGGGTTTCACCATGTTGGCCAGGATGGTCTTGATCTCTTGACCTCGTGATCTGCCCACCTTGGGCTCCCAAAGTGCTGGGATTACAGGCATGAGCCACCACGCCCGGCCCCGCAGGCCTTCTGAATGTTTCTTCCCCACAGGACCTTCACACTTGCTATTCTCACCGCGTGGACTGTTCCTCTCTCCTAATCTTTGCAGCGCTGACTCCTTCTTGTACTTGTCTCAACTCAATTATTTTTTCAGAGAGGACTTCTAATCTCCTGATGGAATGTTACCCCCTCCCCGAATCACTCTCCATACACTATACTCTATCATTATGTCATAATATTTATTACAATCTGAATTTATCTGACTTATTTGTTTACATATTGTCTACGTTTGCCGAAAATATGGGAGGGGTTTGGCTCTGTAAAACTGTGGCCTCATCACTGTTGTATATCCATGCCTAGAACAATGCCTAGCACACAGTAGGCATTGAGTAATCATCCACTGAATAAATAAAACTTATAGGAGAGAAGTTTAAGTCAGAAAGGCAAAAGTCTTGTGTGGGGTAAATCTTTTTTTCTTTTTTTAGATAGTCTTTCACTGTTGCCTACGCTGGAGTGCAGTGGTGTGATCTCAGCTCGATTCAACCTCTGACTCCCAGGTTCAATCGCTTCTGCTGCCTCAGCCTCCTCAGTAGCTAGCATTACAGGCATGTGCCACCACACCCAGCTAATTTTTGTATTTTTTGTAGAGACAGGGTTTCACCATGTTGGCCAGTCTGGTCTTGAACTTTTGACCTCAAGCGATCTGCCCGCCTCAGCCTCCCAAAGTGCTGAGATTACAGGCATGAACCACTGCACCTGCCCAGGTAAATCTCTTAATTCACCCATATATGTGGCAGAATACTTGCTCTACAAGAGATAACTGAAACCCATTAGTAGTTTCCCATCTCACATTCAGCATAGAACATACCCACAAGAACTAAATGGTGGCAAAATTATCCAGGCAATGCAAATTTCTCTATCTATCTCTGTTTTGTGACCAGCTATGTTTAATTGAATTATCTTAGACAAATCAGCATAGTGTAACTCGATTGTAACTAGATATTATACCATATTATTCTGTATTTCAATTTCTGCTAGTCCAATAAGATTACATGCTATGTAAGATACAGACTACATCTTATGTTTTTCTTTTAGCACCTGGAGGACCAAGAGAGTACTGAAGTAACAGGTAAATCTGAGCACGAAATTTCCGGATACTCAAGAAAAGCTATCAGTTGTCTCACCTTGAATAAATCATATAAGTTCTCAGAGAACTAAAGGGATAGAATCAAGTAAAAATGAAATAAAATAACATCAAAAAAGTATTTGTATTTCTTTCTTTCAATCTGGAACTTGCAGTCATTCTCAAAAATATTTTTTGAGATACTTTGGTGTGTTAAGATTTACCTGCAGCTGGCCAGGTAAATCCCTTAATTCACCCATAAATGTGGCAAAATACTTGCCTTTGCAAAGCTTCATAGCTCCTTCTCGATTTTTTTCAGTAACTCTCAACCACACCTCATAGTACAATTTTTCATAGGCCAAAAAGGCATAATGCTCAGTTTCAAGACACAAGATTTTAAAAATGACTGCCATACCTTCAGGAAATTTTGTTAAATTTTCAGTTTGGTTCTCAGCAGTGAAATCCTTCTTATCTGCAGTAATCTCTGGTTTTGGAAGACTAAGCACACTTGAGGATTTCTCTTCTGAAACTTTATGTGGCTTGAGATCTAGAAAACCCAAAATGAAACTTATAAGGTAATGTTTTGTAAAATGATATAATGACTGCGAATGTTTATATGAACAAATACTGAACAAGTTGCTTTACAATGAACAAGGTGCCTTTTCTCCCACTCTCTTTTGAAAGACTAAATATAAGAAAGCCATTAAGAGGCAGGGATTCTTAAAATACAGTATAATGTTTGTTTGCCATTAACAAACAGGACAGTATTTGCAAAGTTCATACTCCCTAGGAGGTAGCTGGTTCTTTATGAGCATTATGACCAAATAGTAGAGTTGTCGTCTTGTTGTGCTATGTAGAAGAGGCCAAGCAATTTGTTTCTACTTTTACCTGGCAACGGCAACTGAGATGTAATTTTTTTTTTTTTTTTTTGAGACAGTCTCGCTCTGACCAGGCACCAGGCTGGAGTGCAGTGGCGCAATCTCGGCTCGCTGTTAACCTCCGCCTCCTCATTCAAGCAATTCTCCTGCCTCAGCCTCCCGGGTAGCTGGGACTACAGGCGCACACCACCACGTCCAACTAATTTTTGTACTTTTAGTAGAGACGGGGTTTCACCGTGTTGGCCAGGATGGTCTTGATCTCCTGTCCTCGTGATCAGCCTCCCAAAGTGCTGGGATTACAAGCGTGAGCCACTGTGCCTGGCTGATTTTTTTTTTAAGTTTCCAAACTTAAATTCATTCATTACTGTGAAAATATAGCTCTTAAATGTATCTCTCTAAGAAATAGGTACAACAGGAAACAAATTTTAAAGAATCATCCAGGATTGGGGAGGCAAATACATTTCAATCTGTGTATGTGCCAACCCTGGCTGAACAGTCCTGACTGCTTCAAGTACTGTGCTGAAAAGACTTCCACAGTCTCATTCCATTTCAAAAGGAGAATAAACACTGCTTGTTTAGTGCTGTCTGCCCAGGCTGCAGGAGGTCTGAGAGGCAGCATAAGAGCCATCAGCTTCTGATCTCTGATTTCTCTGCATCACATTTATAAGTCATTGTTCTAGCCTTAATCTTTGGTTTATCAACTCTGTCATAACTAGATGTTTCTATTGGCTGTGTTCATTATAGACAGCTGAACTTCAAGTATTATATTGTACCGTACAAAATTCCTCTATCTGGGTATTGTAATTACTCAGTTTACTAAAGAGAAGCACTGAATTTTATTTCATCTCTAAATTCTTCAGCATGCTGCTCCTGAGAATGAAGACATTCTCCTACTCACAGCAGCATCATCTACCCAGGAAATTAACAGTAATTTATCAATGTCCTCTCTTACAGAGTCTCCTAATCAAACTTGTGCAGTTTCTCCAAAATATGTTTTATAGCTGTTTTTTCTTCAATTAGGGATCCAATCAAAGCTTAGGTTTCACATTCAGTTTTTATATCACTTTAGTCTCTTTTAGTTTAGAAAAATCATCCCTTTTTTTGTTGTTGTTTTAATGACGTTGACTTTTGAAGAGGCTGGGCTGGTCATCTTATAGAATATCTACATTTTGGTAGACATTTGTCTGTTTCCTCTTGGATTCTGGTTAAGGATTTTTGGCAAGAATTCTCTACAGGATTGTATTAGTCTGTTTTCACACTGCTTATAAAGATGTACCCAACACTAGGTATATCCACAGCTAAAAGGTATATCTACAGGTAAAAAAATGGACCCACAGTTCCACATGGCTGGGGAGGCCTCACAATCATGGTGGAAGGCCAGGAGGAGCAAGTCATGTCTTACATGGATGGCAGCAGGCAAAAGAGCAAGCTTGTGCAGGGGAACTCCCCCTTATAAAATCATCAGATCTCATGAGACTTATTCATTATCATGAGAACAGCAAGAGAAAGACCTGCCCCCAAGATTCAATTATCTCCCACCCGGTACTCTCACAACACATGGGAATTCAAGATGAGATTTGGGTGGGGACACAGCCAAGCCATATCAAGGGTCTATGGCACTTTGTGTTGCATTACATGGGAACCCACTTACTGCTAGATTGTCTTATTGCTGGTAGGAGTTTGATTACTTAGTTAAGGTAGAAAATGCTTAATATTTCCACTGTCAAGATACATTTTCCTTCTTATAATTTGTAAGTACATGTGGGTTGATATTTTGATAGCTTACAAATGTCCTGTTCCCCAATGAACTTCAGTACTTCCTTTCATTTTAAATTAGTCAGGTCTCCTAAATGCATTTAGGCAAATTTTAAACACAGAGGATGAAAACTAAATGTTATTTACATCTTAGTTTTCTCATATAACTCAGCCAGGTCTGTAACATACAGGTCACAGTAGGTTATGTCATCAGCTGTCACTGGTTATGTCCTAAGAGGCCACTGCTAGGTGTTAATTCAGTTACAGACATTTAACAGGAATATGCACTATGCTAATGTATTACCTAGATTAAGATCAGATGTATCCTGAACAGCTGTTTCATCTGTATCTTCATTTTTCTTTGTAAAAGAAGGCAGTTTTTTGGAAAGATTGTCCAGATGATTATGCTGAAAGAAAAAAAAAGACTTTTAGACTTATACATGGCTGAAATTTAACTGTCACAAATATGTTAAATTGATAAGCAATGATGAAAACATATTTTTAATGACCAGAAAATAAAGTTTATAAATTAATATCCTACAAGAGACTAATTAACCCAATTCTAGTTTTTGTTAACTAGTCATAATTTCCTGTAATTTCTTCTGGAATTTTCATAGAAATGCAGGGTGTTTGGAACATATGAAAATAGTCACTTTGAATCAGAGTTTTAATGAACTGGCCAGGGAGGGGAAGGTTGGGGCTGTGGTCCTACAGGTAGGCTGAAATAGAACAGGAGATCATTCTGCCTCTCTGAGCTTCCAAGAACTCACAATCTCTTAGTGGTATCCTAATAGCTGATGGGTGAGGAAATTTTAACTGAATAAAAACTCCAAAATGAGTTATCAGAGGATAATGATAGGAAAGATTCTGCCTAAAAAGGCTTAATATAGATAGGAGAGGTTATAAATAGTGAGACTGAAAGGCAGGATGGGGGAGCGATAGCAATACACTGCAGAGAACTTCTACTTAGGTGCAAGACCTGAAATTAGCATTCCTTATCACATGCTGGTGAGAATATGGATTTGATGGGGAAATATTAGTCAGCTAGGTCAATGCAGGAAAGAATTAAACAACATCAGGAAAGACAGATTACATAATAACATGCAATATATCAGCTCTTATAAATACTTTTATTTGATTATTGTTCATTATATTCAGTTACCTGAGACTGATACAACTCGTTCAATTCAGATTTTAAAAAGGGTGGTATTTTGCAGTTCCTAATATCCATTAGATAATTTTTTGTTGTCTCAATTTCCTTCCTGGTTGATGTTTCCATGATTATGCAAAAGAAGACACAGAACATTTTCAGGTGTTATCCATTTGTGCTTTAGCTGTAACTCCCACAAAAATGAATGTAATCACCAACAATAACACTGATAGGAATTAACTTGTTAGATATTTTTTGCCAGATTGTTTTGGTTCATTTTCTCATCTTTTAGAATTAGTTACATTTCCTACTTTAAAAATCAGACTCTCATATAAGATAGGGAATAGCGGTACCAGGTGTTATTTTGATTTTATACTTGATCTCAAAAGGCGAAAAACCACATAGCCCTGTAATAGTTAAACTTTTTGAGGTTTTTCAATTCTCTGAGGTTTAAATGACAGCTAGAATTACTGGTTTTCATAATTTCAGTAGCAGTAGTAACAAAAAAAACCTAAACAAATCAAAAACAAAAACATGAGGCATAATTTGCGAATAATGTGGTCAGTGGTTATAGACTTAAATAAAAGCAATTATGATAATCCTGCTTTCCAAGACCAGAACCCCTATACTGGGGAGACATTACATAGGGAAGGCCAGTGAGATGTAAACTGAAGTCATAGGGTAAGTGTCCAGGAGCTTTTAAAGAGGGCTAACTCAGCTGGGAGGTTTTTCCTTGTCCTTGCCTGGTGTCTTTTCCTGCTTCCTGAAATATGATGGGAGGCTGCAGCAATCATTTTAACTATAAAGTAAACTTGAGAATGGAAATCATGTACTAAGAATGTTGGAACAGATAAAAGGAAGGAATCTGAATTCCTGATGATGTTGTGGGGCTCCCTACCATAAACTGCCTACCTCTGACTTTTTTCACATTAGGAAAAATAAGCCCCTTTTTAATACAAGTACTGATTTGGAGGTTTTCTGTTAAATGTAGCTGAACTTAATCCTGCTTGAAATAGTTTTCATTTTCAAGTGCTTATTGCATGACAGGAGTTTTGCAAAGTATTTTACATTTAATCTTATAGTAACTATATGAGTTACTATTTTTTAAGATTTTACTCTAAGTTCTGGGGTACATGTGCAGATCTTACACAATTGGTTTGCTGCCTCCAGCCCCTCATCACCTATATTAGGTATTTCTCCTAATGTTATCCCTCCCCAATCTCCCTACCCCTGCCAGCCGTTCCCTAGCTCCCCACCCCCAAACAGACCCCAGTGTGTGATGCTCCCCTCCCTGTGTCCATGTGTTCTCATTGTTCAACACCCACTTATAAGTGAGAACATGCAGTGTTTGGTTTTCTATTCTTGTGTCAGTTTGCTGAGAATGATGGTTTCCAGATTCATCCACGTCCCTGCAAAAGGCATGAACTCATTGTTTTTGATGGCTGTATAGTACTCCATGGTGTATATGTGCCACTTTTTCTTTGTCCAGTCTATCTTTGATGGGCATTTGGGTTGGTTCCAAGTCTTTGTTATTATAAACAGTGCCACAATGAACATACGTGTGCATGTGTCTTTATAATAGATCGGTTTATAATCATTTGGGTATATACCCAGTAATGGGATTGCTGGGTCAAATGGAATTTCTATTTCTAGATCTTTGAGGAATTGCCACTGTCTTCCATGATGGTTACTATTTTTATCCTCATTTTGTGGCTTGAAAAACCAAGCACAGAGAGGTTAAGTAACCCCTTTCAAATCACATTACCAATAAGGGGTGGAATCTAAATTAAAACCCAGGTTGCTTGCCTCCAAGCCCATGATCTTGACAACTGCACATGCAGGGAGCCAGCAGTCCCCCATTGTGAGAGCTGAAAGAGACCTCAGATATTTGACAGTTCAATTAGCCTCAGTTTATGGATGGGCAAACTGAACTCCTGAAGTAAATGTTACTGAAGTGAAACAACCAGCCAGCATCATACATTTGGTAAGTCATCAAACAGTAACCGATTGGATCTGTGAACAGTGCTCTTATAGTAGTTGGCCTGTCTGGAAATACCAGACAAGCATGACCAAAATACAACCTTACTTAAACAACTTTCACTTCCCACTGAAAGTATATTATCTCTATTGCTTCACTGGACTCACTCATCAATCTACGGCAGTCTGGCTGCTGCCCACCACTTTCTTAAAATTATTCTCACAAAAGAAAGTAATGAACCTTCTAACTTAAAAACCAAAATTCTTTTATTCATTCCGATTTCTGATTCTTCCATGGCATCTTACATTTGCTGAGAAACTTCTATTTCCTAGAAACTTTCTCTTTCCTTGACCCAGTTCATTTTCCACATTGCCAACACTTCTTTTTCTGTGACACTCATCTAATTATATTTTCCCCTCTTCTTTAACAAGCTTTCACTGGCTTGCTATTACATACCTATAAGTTAAAACTTGAAATTGTTAATGTTTTAAAATTTAAAAAACTTGAATAGATAATATAAGCATATGGACACAGTTTTAAGAACACTCAAAAGTACACAATTCTGAAGTACATCCTAGCCCCCGTCTCTCAATCTCCTTCCCCTCAGGCAATCACTGTCTTTCAGAGAAGCTTTTAGGGATACTCTGAGAATGATGGTCTTCAAGGTGCACTACCTTAAAATATGGCACCTTGGAACACTGAATATTTTCAGCTGAAGGAATCTGAGAAAATGGTAGAAGCAGGGAGGTTATTCTCGCCTTCCCTCTTTCCTTCTTCCCTGAAGCAGGACATAAAACCTAGAGAGGATTTTCTGACCTTCCCCTTAAGCAGCTCATAAGACCCTTCCATGGAGGTGCCCTTGTAATACCTGTAGGAAAGGAGGATCCGTATCTCTGAAGACAAAGGCACACAGAGAGGAATCTGAGCAACAGATCTCACTATAGTCCCCCAGTTTATTACCATTAGATTGTGCTTTTTGTGCCCTATCATATTTCTCTATGAGTGTTTATTCTTCATCATATCTAGAATAAAGATACTCAGGCTTAACCATTTATTTGGGTCTTCATTTCCTTATGAAGGCTACCATGTCATGTAAAACTTAAGCTATCCTCCCTGCAGACCAGTATATCCCTTCCAGTTTGTCCTAGGGGAGGTGACCCATGAGGCTTAAAGTCTTATCTCAGCACCCCTCTAACACATTTCACAAGACAACCCTGACATTTTTATGAAGAAGTATATTAATCCTGAAGTCATTCTGAAAAGGGGCCATGAAAATGTGTACAAAGATAGTATCATATGTACTACTACATATTCAACAAATATATCTGGCTGCTTCTCTCTATGACAAGACAGCTGGAGTTGAAATCCCCAGTGAGGACTAAAAGGAAACCAAACCATATGATGCTTAGAGCACATTCCTCCTGTGAATTATAAGAACCTTGAAAGTTTATGACTGTGTTCTGCATTAAGTTCCAGAATATTTATTAGTATATTAGCATCACCAAAACCACAGAGAGGGCCTTGAGAGCTTTCTTGCTTAGGAGAGGAAGAGCATCTATCTAATGGTCAAATGGGCTTCCTCAAGAGACAGTGAGGTCATCACACAGAGCTGAATGACCACTTGGCAGAACTGTTGAAAAAGAGAGTTAAATAACATCTGGGCACCTGGTAGGACACTTTGACCTATTCCACTCTCAGAGTCTATTACTCTGGGCCTTTTCAGGTGCTTATGCGTACTTTGGGGTAGAATTACCTCGTTTTGTCTATCTTTTCTTTCCAGCGTTTTGAGGATGCTGTGTCCCTATGTGAAAGGAAAGGAAAATATGATGAAAAGGGGCAATGATCTCAGCTTAAAAACAAAAACAAAACCCCCCACTACTATATGATGAATTGTTAATATTACAGGAGATGAAGGGCTGTGAATTCATTGACGTAGTCACCCAAAGTTAGAGCACCTGCATATCCCATTTCCTCAACCATTGCATGCCTAATACTAATTAGAACACATTATTGCATTAGCTTACCTCCATGTCTTTTCAAAGAAATCTTTACCAAATGTGTCTGGTGGGTATTTTGGAGGCATAGCCAAAGATTGCTTGTATAAATCAGCTAGGTGAGCTGCAACTTTAAACATAAATATATTTAACTTTTATCCCCACTTCTTTATAGGGCAACACACAATCAGTACACAATTACTCATTTGAGATGCCTATTAAGAGCCTATAATTAATCCATCAAGTGTTTACTAGGATTTACATGACAAAGCTGTAATACAATAGTAAACTAGACTACTTTTATGAAATATCCTACTAGAAAACATACAGCTTAGAGTTAAAACGTAAAATGCAGTGATATCTCATTTATCCCATATTATTAGGGGAAGCGATATTCCACTTAACTGAATTTCCTCCAATCGGAAGCAGCAAATCTTAAAACAAATTAACCATAATATTGAAATTGCTTTTCTGAATATTTTCCTGCTTCCTGAATCTAAGAACATGAATATATGACAACGGTTGTTCAACTATTTAGGCAGCGATTCTCAGAGTTCATTCACAAAACACGATCTTGGTGGGAAGTCAAAGGGAGATTAAAAAAAGGAAAAGGTTTTCATGTTTCGTGGTTATATGACCTTGGGAAACACTGATATATACGAGGTTAAATAGGTTTCATTACTTTCCTGCATTCTTAATTAACATACATTGTGACTCTCTCAGAAAATAAGACAATATGAAGCATTATCCAAATTTATTTTAATATGAAACCCATTTTTGAAGGATCCTTCTCATAGATGAGTGTTTTAGAAAATACTATGGGGAAATGTTTACTAGGATCATTTTAATTATGTGTCAGGGACAGCTATAGGTATGCAAGAGCTGTTTCCTTCCCAGAATCGTTTGTTTCAAAACATGTGTTTGTCTTTCACTTTTGAAAAACCTATGTGTTTTTCTTTGTTGTGCCTGTTGCTTTGTCCCACAGGTAAAAGTTCAAAAGCTACAGGGTAGGGTTGCCAGATAAACTATAGGGCCCCTGGTTAAATCTGAATTTCGGATAAACAAACAGCTTTTTAGTTTAAGTATATTCCAGGCTTCAAGGGGCATACTGCGTCTTAGCCTGCTTTTTGTTGCTATAAAATAATACCTGAGGCTGTGTAATTCATAAAGAAAAGAGGTTTCTTTGGCTTACATTCTGCAGGCTATATAAGAAGCATGGTGCTGGCATCTGCTTCTGGTGAGAGCCTTAGGCTACTTCCACTCGTGGCAGCGAGGAAAGGGGAGCTCACATGTACAGAGACCAGATAATGAAAAAGGAAGCAACAGAGAGAGGGAAGATGCTAGACTCATTGTACCAACCAGCTCTCATGGCAACCAATAGAGTGTGAATTCAGTCACCACCAAGAGGACAGAGGGCACCAAGCTATTCATGAGGGATCCACCCCTATGACCCAAATACCTCCCATTAGGCCCCACCTCCCTCCAACATTGGGGATCAAATTTCTTTTCTTTTTTCTTTTTCTTTTGGAGACAGGGTCTTGCTCTGTTGCTGAGGCTTGAATGCAGTGGCATGATCTCCAGTCATTGCAACCACCACCCAAAGGCAAAAGCTATCCTCCCGACTCAGCATTCAGAGGAGGTGGGACCACAGGCACACACCACGACACCCAACTAATTTGTTTTTTTAAATTTTCTGTAGAGATGGGTTTTCACCATATTGCCCAGGCTGATCTCGACCTCCTGGGCTCAAGAGATCCACCCACTTTGGCCTTCCAAAATGCTAGGGTTGTAGGCACAAGCCACCAGGCCTGGCCTGGGGATCAAATTTCAACATGTGATTTAAAGGGGTCAAACGTCCAATCTATAATATGCTTACACTAAAAAAATTGTCATTCATGTAAAATTCAAATTTAACTAGGCCTTCTGTATTTGTATTCACTAAATCTGGCCACTCTACTACAAGAGTTGCCAAGGGTAAAAGAGTGACCACAAAGTTTAGGCACAGGGAGACACTGGGGGTTGTGATGAGCTCCCATGATGGTCATTTTAAAGTGGCAGCTGCCAATTATCTTCAGACAAGTTTATTATGCAATAATGTGAGATTTTAAGAGGAGAAAAATCTAGATAAAAAACAACAGCAAAAGCTGGAGGCATCACACTACCGGACTTCAAACTATGCTACAAGTCTACAGCAATCAAAACAGCATGGTACTGGTATCAAAACAGAGACATAGACCAATGGAACAGAACGGAGGTCTCAGAAGCAACATTACACATCTACAACTATCTGATTTATGACAAATCTGACAAAAACAAGCAATGGGGAAAGGACTCCATGTTTAATAAATGCTGTTGGGAAAATTGGCTAGCAATGTGCAGAAAGCAGAGACTAGAGCCCTTCCTGTCACCTAACACTAAAATTAACTCCAGATGGATTAAAGATTTAAACAGAAAACCTAACACCATAAAAACACTAGAAGAAAACATATGCAAAACCATCCAGGACACAGGCATAGGCAAGGACTTCATGACTAAAACACCAAAAGCAATGGCAACAAAAGCCAAGATAGACAAATGGGATCTAATTAAAATTCAGAGCTTCTGTACAGCAAAAGAAACCATCATTAAAGTGAACCAGGAACCAGCAGAATGGGAAAAAAATTTTGCAGTCTACCCATCTGACAAAGGGCTGATATCCAGAATCTACAAAGAACTAAAACAGATATACAAGAAAAAAACAAACAACCCCATTCAAAAGTGGGCGAAGGATATGAACAGACACTTTTCAAAAGAAGACATATATGAGGCCAACAAACATATGAAAAAATGCTCATCATTACTGGTCATTAGAGAAATGCAAATCAAAACCATACTGAGATACCATCTCACGCCAGTTAGAATGGCAATCATTAAAAAATCTGGAGACAACAGATGCTGGAGAGGATGTGGAGAAATACGAACACTTTTACACTGTTGGTGGGAGTGTAAATTAGTTCGCCCATTGTGGAAGACAGTGTGGTGATTTCTCAAGGATCTTGAAATAGAAATTCCATTTGACCCAGCAATCCCAATTACTGTGTATATACCCAAAGAAATATAAATCGTTCTACTATAAAGACACATGCACACATATGTTCATTGCAGCTCTGTGTACAATAGCAAAGACCTGGAACCAACCAAAATGCCCATCAATGGTAGACTGAACAAAGAAAATGTGGCACATATACACCATGGAATACTATGCAGCCATAAAAAACGATGAGTTTGTGTCCTTTGTAGGGACTTGGATGAATCTGGAAATCATCATTCTCAGCAAACTGACACAAGAACAGAAAACCAAACACTGCAAGTTCTCACTCATAGGTGGGTGTTGAACAATGAGAACATGTGGATTCAGGGAGAGGAGCATCGCACACTGGGGGCAGTTGGAGGGGGGTAGGGGAGGGTCAGTGGGGGTGGGAAGGGTGGGGAGGAATAACATGGAGAGAAATGCAGGATATATTATGCACCTATGCAACAACCCTGCATGACCTGCACATCTACCCCAGAACCTAAAGTAAAATAAAAAGAAAATAATAAATTAAACAACAACAACAACAGCAACAAAAACAACTGTACAAGCACACACTGTGAAGGATACTCAGAACCTATCTGTGGTTGAATGAAGCCCCTGGCTGTCATTTTATGATCTTTGCCATATGGCCAAAAAACCAAACCAAAACAAAACAAAAACCCACCATATTCTCCACTGCTTGTTTGCTGTGAGCTATGAAACCGTCTAACCACAGTTGTTAGGGTTGTGTATATCCCCAAGTGAATACTCTTTGAATGAGATCTAAGTTCTTGCATTACATATAGTGTAAAACTGTAAGGTACTTGCATTACATATAGTGTAAAACTGCAAGGTTTTGGTGATAACAGTGTAGTTGCTCAAAAATTCTGTGTGTGGGAGGGTGGGCTGTTGGTTGGTTGACTATATCTTCATTACAGTTGAGGCTAACATAAAAGTCTAATGTCAACATTTTTCATTTAATGGATGAAAGTTAAAGATGAATAAGAGATAATCATCATTTTCCTGGATCTCACAGCTCAGGCAAAACAATACAGGCAGAATGGTTTACAAAAATAAACCACCACTACAACATGGCCAATATGGGAATGGAGATACGTCCATGGTGTCTTGTTATCTGATAAGAGAATGACCGATAAGTGTATTTAAGATTATTCCTTTGAAATTTGAAAACACATGGCAGAAGAATATTAAATGCAACTTACCTTCACTAACATGACTTTTTGTAGTTTCCTCCATTTTAGGGAAAGACTGAAATGAAGATAGAATTACTTAATGGTGATGATTATATTACTGACAAGACTTATTTTGTTTAGAAACATTCTCTCAAGTTGGTCTTCTGTAAAAACTACTATAAAATGAATTAGTTTTAAAATACTGATATAAAATTAATTTCTGTATAACATTCCTTTCACTTAATTTCTAAAAATTGAAATAATTTTAAGTTGTAAAAATTCCTTTTTCCTCTTCTTTCCCATTTCATTTATTACTTCATTCAGCATTTTAATAAATTTCAATTTCTTTTGAAGCCAATAAAAAGTTTTATTTAAGGACCTTCAGACTTACTTATGAAAGGAGAGCCTGAAATGTATAGAGAAACAGGTTTCCTCAAAAATTAAAAATTATGAAGAGGGAGCAAATGCTTCGTAGAGATGGCAGAAGCAGCTATTCCTTAATGATATTTTGTCTTAAAACATTTAATACTGAAACAATAGTAAGAACACAGGTATACAAGGCATTTTCTCACCATAACCAGCTTGAGGAGATCGGCAGCATTGCCTCTCTCCTCCTCAGTTCTGGAATCTTTAACCATCATTTCCTGCAGCTCATCTTCTTTCTTTAGAATATGGTTTATGTAATCCTAAATTAGCAGAATAAAATAAAGAGATAAAAACCAGGAATTAGGTAGAAAGACACTAAAATGGTCATCAACTTGAAATATTACCCAAAAATGAAGAATCTATAGTTTTACAATACTCAGCAATTGTTTACTATTCAGAGTCTGAAAAGACTTTTTCTTAACATGTTAATGGAATAAAACTTCAAAAGTCCAAAAGCAAAGTTGTAAGGGCCACAGGATAGATCTGTATGGGGACCTCAGAGAGGCCCTATTAACTTTGTGCTTAAGTGTCCTCATCAATAAAATGGACAGAGTTGGGTTAGATGACATTTAGGATCCTTTCAGGTATAGTCTTCTATTTTATCTGTGAATGGAGTTTGCCTAGTTCATGTCTTTGCTTCCAAGAGAAATATATTTTATTTTTTCCATAAGTATTTGATCCATTTTCATAATTAATAATCCCTTGCTCTGTGCCAGGTGCTAGGTATATAACCATAAACAAAACACATATAATCCCTGTACTGAGGGAGTTAACAAACTTGACATGCTATAGACATGATCATACAATTAACTATGTATTTAAGATTCTTAGACCACTTCCAAAGCCAGCAATCATTTTCCTCCATGGACAAATATTTTAATATGTGGGTCTGTCTTTTTCCAATGGTCACTAGATCAATTTTCTATATAGTGACACAGATGAAGGACTCTGTATAGTAATCACTTACAAAAATTTTTTACTTTCTCAGTGTCTTTGGGGCTTAAAAATTTCTACACCTTATGGGAACCACTAAGTATTTTCTACCTCTCAACGCTCTACTGTGAAAGACCGACAACCTTGTGTTGCACTAGACAAATACTGGTAGAATTACATAATTTCAGGTTTCTTAGGAAACCAAGAGCAATGATTGCTCTGCTTCTGATTCTTTTGGGTCGAGTTACCTATATTCCATTACCTTAAGGGAAACCTGCAGTCTCAGTTTCACCTCATTCTTTATGACCTCATGCTGAATGAACTGACGCATCTGTAGCACACTGGGGCTCTTGAGTATGGCACCTGGGACACTCACTAACTGTTTGGACTCAATGCAAAGGCCCTTCCAAATCTGAGTGCCAAATGGAGGTCCTGGAGTTTTTTTCTGTTAACAAAACAAAGCAACAAAACCGCTAAAGAAATCAGAATGTTTTCACATTCAAAATGTTTTAACTGTACACTTATTATGTAGATATCGTAATAACTTTTTAGGAACACGGTGATGAAAAAAACCCATAATCTCAAAAAGCTCTGCAAATATAAGGAAAATTGGTAACAGAACTGGGCATGCTTTCCTCTTTATTTCTGTTACCCAAACACTGGATATTTAAAAGTCCTGTTGCATGATGTCCCGGGTAGGATGTAGAGAGTGCTAAGCAATGCTGCGCCATGAGCCTAACTTATGACAAATGCATGTGGTTATTGCTTAGTACGCACAAGTAGCTGAAGATATTTGGAACTGAGCAATCTTTCACTTTTAGATTCTGTGTTCATTTTGACCCAGAAAGATTCTTTGCAAGAGAAATAATTCCATAGATCTGGGCCATCTTTGAGTTCACTCTAGATTGAGTATGCCTCCAGAGTCTGAGGATCTCTGGGGCAGAAAAATCTACGTTAGAGTTAACTCACATCTATCTGTTATACTCGTGATTGATTTTCAGGAATGGTGTGCTTTGTTGCCCTATGTCCTCAAGTGTGCTGGATGTGCTTCATTTTAAAATGCCTGGACGGTGACAGCCACATAGGGGCTTTGCAGGCATGGGTCACTCCTACCAGCTGTAGAAGGTCAGAGCATAAGAGTTTCAGAGGATGAGAATAAACTTCCTTCAATAATCTTAGCTGTGGCATACCTTTTGTCATCATATAGTACCTACAATTTGGATATAGCCTTAGTGTGCAATTTGGTGTGACCTCCTCATTTTCAGAGAAGTAAATGGAGACTCAGTGTGACTTGTCCCAGATCCCACATTAATAAGGGGTAGAATCAGGACCAGAATTCTAGTCTCCTTCATCTTACCATGTTGACTATAGTCACCAAATTTAACCATAGGGCTAGGAGGCCATTGTAATCTTAAGTGTTCATCATGCATGCTTGCTATTACAAGATTTAGTGTAGGACAGCAAAAATGATCACAATAAAAAACATTATGTCAATTAACACTACTATCAATCTCTAATCATATTATCAATTCTTCACTGATTTAATTACCACCTGACAATATGTTGGACATGTGACATAAATTGCTTGTAAAATGAAATGGCAAATTATGTTAGATATAGGACTTCATTGATGCCTATCCAAGACATTTTATTTTATTTAAAAAAATTTAGGCGTGGCTTCTCTTATCTGACATCATCACAATGTTTACTTTCTAACATTGCAATTTGCAAACCTGTGTATAATCCATATTATTCTTAGTTTGTGCATTTTTAATATATGAAGCAAAAAAAGCGAGAGTAAAAGACCCAAAATTGTATGTTAAAATTAACAAATAAGATAGACTGGATAAAGAAAATGTGGCACATATACACCATGGAATACTATGCAGCCATAAAAAAGATGAGCCATGTCCTTTGCAGGGACATGGATAAAGCTGGAAACCATCATTCTCAGTAAACTAACACAAGGACAGAAAACCAAACACTCCCATGTTCTCACTCATAGGTGGGTGTTGAACAATGAGAACACATGGACACAGGGAGGGGAACATCACACATGGGGGCCTGTCGGGGGATGGGGGACTAGGGAAGGGGCAGCAGGTGGGGAGGAGATAGGGGAAGGATAGCGTTAGGAGAAATACCTAGTGTAGATGACGGGGTAATGGATGCAGCAAACCACCATGGCATATGTATACCTATGTAACAAACCTGCATGTTCTGTGCCTGTGCCCCAAAAAATAAAACAATAAATTTTATAAAAAATAAAATAAAATAAATAAGAAATGATAGAAGAAAAGATTTCTGTATGATATAATATCACTAATTCCATGACAGAGGAGGTGTAACCTGGCTTACTCAGAAAGGATGTTTTCATATTATAGGAAGATGTTCAAGCCTGCAATACAGGATAAAAGAAATAAAACTGAAATTAGCTAGCTAGGAATATTCCTCTAAAACGTTGTTGCCACATCTACAAATGTTAGGATCTTCAGATATAAAACTCCCTGAGCATGTTAACAATTTACATACGAATAAAAATATATGAATATATGGGAGAAGACCTAAGACTCTGGTCCACTGATGGATGTATATGTCAATAAAATGAGTTTTTGGCAGAAAATATATACCTCAACTGAGGGAAATGTTTCCCATGACCTTGAGCGGAGATTAGGAGGGACAATGGTATCTTCCTTTTTTATTAGCCATGGTGATGCTTCATGGACAGGACGGAGGACTGTGATGCTCAGTGAGCCTGGTTCAAAGAGAGTTATCAGAAGACCAATATCCATCAGAGAAAATGAAAATGCATTCACTAAATTCAACAAGCTCTTTTTGAACAGCCTTAGACATGAAAGATTAATGAGATACAATGACTATACTTAGGAACCTTACAATCAGACAAGAAGGAGGAAGCTTTTAGTCACTGTAACACCTAGAGATCACCTGGAAGTATTCACTGACACCTCCCTGTCCCTCACCAACCACATACAAGTTATGACACTTCTCCAATAAACTTGATGAATGCATCTTCTTTCCTCTTTGCGAACCCTACTTTATGTGCTTCCAAAAGATCCTCTTCTAGAGTACAGCAACAGCTGGCTTTGCCACCTATACATACTCGGTGAATAAACCTTCCGCTGCAGCCAGGATAACTGATTATGTTAGTCCATGATTAAAATGCTTAGGCCTTCACATTGCTCATGAGATAAAACACAGTCCTTAACATTCTTTTGACCCTATCTCAACTTGTACTGTTCTTCCCCTCTGTGCTTCAGCTACTTTGCTTTTCCTCCAACCCATGTTTTCCAATGCTTTATGCTTTCTCCTTTATATTTTCTTTTCCAAGAAAGCTCTCTCTTACTTTGATCAACCCTTACCTACCCACTAGCTCTTTGCTCAGGTGTCTCCAAGGAAGCCTTCTAGACTATGTCAATTTCTTGTTAGATTCTCCCATATAACTATGTTCTTTTTCTTCATGGACCTTATCCTAACTTATAATCACACTGTTGTGTGACTTTATAACTAACAACTATCTTTCCCGGTAACATACAAGCTCCATGGAAACAGGGTCCATGACTGTTTTAATTCGTCATCATATTCCTAACCTCCAGCCAGTGTTTAGTACATGGTGGTTTGCCAAGTAGAGGCTGGTTAAATGACTAATAAACCAATGTGAGATGAATTCTTATTCTCCCACAGTTCCATAGGTGCTCCACACTGACTGGGGGCCAGCCAGAGTCCTTCATGTTCTATAGTCACAAAGAGCAAGGTGTATTAATGTCATGCACACTAAAAGTTATAAGGGCACAGAAATGCAGGCTTATTCATGAATGCACACAAAATGTATCCTAAAATACAGAGAAAAGATGAAAAAAATAAATACAACATGTAAACCTAGGCACAGCACATAGGTTTTGTACACAGATAATATGTAGGCTTATATCTATATTTAAATACACACATATTGGATGGTCCTTACTTAATGCAATATGTATCTCTAACCTCTGGCAACACACAAATTTCTTTGAAGTTGATGAAAACAACCTAATTACCTAATGAATATAGCTTATGTAACTTATCAAGTATTTCAGGTTGGCATTATAACTCACATATCAATTTAGTCAAAGCAACATCTTCAAAATAACAAAAAAAATGAATTTACAAGAGATATCTCACTTTTCTTTGTTTTTTTTTCTTATCAAGATGAAATGAACTAATAAATCAGAACTTTGGTACATACCTAAACACAGACACAAATCTGTTTATAGGAGAAGAGGGATACATACTCAGCTTACACAGATTGGTGCTCAGATATATATTGATATACACCTAAATTCAAATAGCTATATAAATAAGTTGACATGGCCAGGTGGAAAGTAGAGCAGAAAGGGGGGAAAGTGGAAAATGTAAGAAGACACGAATAGACTGGATAGTAAAGAGGATGAGAATTGGCTAAGAGACGCAGTGCATTCCAAACAATATGGGTCCTCTACCCGGCTGTTCCTGCACTGGCTCTTGGAGAACAACAGTATTTGATTCTTTATATGCCAAAGATAGGTATTCTTCTATGTCACTGTCTCGAAGAAGTTCCATTCCTGATCCATCAGCATAGACAACAAAAAACCTATTTGAAGAAATAAAAATATAATCAATTGAAGTATTCAGTTAAAATGCTTCTTGAACTTAGAATTAAAAGCAAAATTATGGTATTATTATTTTACCTGGGGACATGTTCACCATAGATTTGCTGATGATTCTTTTCAAGGTGAATAGAGGATAAACTATCATAGCTCTCAGTTTTTTCATTTAAATCATCTTCCAATTTTTTTTCAGGTAATATAGTTGATACGGTACCATCAGCCATGACCTAAGGGATAAAGTATGTAAGCAACTAAAAGAATCACATTGCTTATATTTCTGCTGATCCAATTTAAGAAACAGGTGATTTAGGGGGTTTACTCAGAAAATTGGAGATGTTTATTAGCAAGGAATTGTTTACTAAGTAGAGACGACATTAATAAAAGTAAAACCCTAGCAGCATAACTCTACTTATAAATGACACCTTGAACAGGAACACAGCTGAAACATATTCAGAATGGAGTGAATAGGATGGGGAGGATATTTCAAACCTCACACTATGAAGATAGGTTCAAGGAATTGGGAATTTAAACATGGAGGAATGGGTGCTCATGCAATAGTTGTCTAGATTTATTTGAAAGGATCTATGCGTGGAAAGGGCTTATACTCTGGGATTTCAAACACAGAACTGCAGCTCATGGGTAGAATACATAGGGAAACGGATTTAGTATCAGTATGGTATGAGAAAAGAGTTATAGTTCTTTATTACTGTCTAGATATGGCGTGGGTCTCTCCAGGAAGGGGTGTGATTCATGCTGCAAGACCACTGAAGGGGATGCCCAAGAGGAGTATCAATGCCCAGAAAAATGCTTGGCCTAGAGGGTTTTGAGCTTTAAGTCTCGACTTCAATTTGTTGTAAATGGAAATTTGTCAGTTTGAACTCATGCCGCGAAGAGTTTCAGTTTGTTTTGATATCTACATATCAAAGCAAAGTTCGGAATTCTGTTGTATAACTCCAAATCTAAAAAATAATTTCATATCTACTAGCTGATAGACAAAATATCACTGTTGAAGGAGAAGTAAAAATAATAATAATAAATAAATGTCTAGGGCAATGGCTGGCAAATCCTTTTTGTCACAGGCAAGGCAGTAAATATTTTAGAGTTTGCAGGCTATACATTCTCTGTTGCAACTACTCAACCCTGCCATTACTGCGGAAAGCATGCAAAGACAGTATGTCAGCAAATGAGATGACTGTGTTCCAATAAAACAACACTGAGATTTGTATTTCCTATAATTTTATGTGTCTTCTTCTTTTGTTTTTTCAAAAACCATTTAAGCATATATGAAACCATTTTGAGTTCATGGGCTATAGATAAACAAGTGGCCACGGTGTGCCAATGCCTGGCCCAGAGGTGAAGGGATAGTTGTGGTATTGAAAGACAAAGCAGCAAATATTTTCTCCCATTCTGTAGGTCGTGTGTTTAGTCTGTTGACAGTTTCTCTTGCTGTGCAGAAGGTTTTTAGTTTTATTGGGTCCCATTTGTCAATTTTTGCTTTTGTTGCAATTGGTTTAGGTGTCTTTCTCATGAAATCTTTGCCAGAGTCTATGGCCAGAATGGTTTTTTTTCTGGGTTGTCTTCAAGGGTTTTCATTGTTTAGGTTTTACATTTAAGTCTTTAATACATCTTGAGACAGCTGTTGTATATGGTGTAGTGAAAGGGTCTAGTTTCAACTTTTTGCATATGGTCAGCCATTTATCCCAGGGCCATTTATTGACTAGAGAGTCCTTTCCTCATTGCTTGTTTTTGTTGGTTTTGTTAAAGATCAGATGATTGCAGGTGTGCAACTTTATTTCTGGTATCTCGATTCTGTTCCATTGGTCTGTGTGTCTGTTTTAGTACCAGTACCATGCTTTTTTGGTTAGTGTAGCCCTGTAGGATAGCTGAAGTCATGTAATGTGGTGCCTCCACCTTGGTTCTTTTTGCTTAGGATTGCTTTGGCTATTTGAGCTGTCTTGTTTTTTTGGTTTTATGTGAATTTTAGAATAGCTTTTTCTAATTCTGTGATGAATGTCATTGGTAGTTTGATAGGAATAGTACTGAATCTGTAAATTGCTTTGGGCAGTATGGTCATTTTAACAATATTGATTCTTCCTATCCATAATCATGGAATGTTTTGCCATTTGGTTGTGTCATCTCTGATTTCTTTTAGCAATGTTTTGTTATTCTCATTGTAGAGATCTTTCACCTCCCTGGTTAGCCGTATTCTTAGGTATTTTATTGCTTGGCAGCTTTTGTGAATCAGATTGTGTTCTTGATCTGGCACTCAGCCTGGATGTTGTTCCACCTCCCTACCTTCAAACCTTCTGGATCCTTCTTACCATGGACTCTCTACGTACTCAAAGAAACTTGCCTGCTGCCTCATGTTTGCTCTGACTTCAACTTGGACACAGATCACTGCCACAACATTCATTACGATGGCATTATTTTTAGATGTCTGCTAATGTTTCTTCCTTTCTGTTCTAATTATTTATTTAGCCTTAATATCTCTATCCCACCCATTGTTTGGTTTTCCATCCCCCATGGAAGTACTCTTAAGAATCAAAGGAAAAATACTGACATTCATTACTGCTTGCCCAAAGTATTGGCAGTAAGTGGATAATTAACCCCAAGGCAACTAAGGTAAAAATCTACATGGAAGCTTTGTAGTGTGAAATATCTCAAAAGGAAAGCCACAGGCTCTCCCTGCATACCAAAGGTACACTTTACCTGAAAAGTGTTTCCCTCAGGATCCAGAACCTCACAGATAATCTCTGAAGTGTGCCTCATGATGTATGTGCCAGCTCTCAGCTGCTCACGCTTTTGGAAAGGATAGTATATGTTACTGCTTGATTCATGGCAGTATATAGCTGAACAATCCTTGTCAAAATAGAGAGAGCCTGTGTTTGGAGGTAACACCTGAAAGAGTAACAGAAGGAAAGAAATTAAAATGTTCTTGTTCAATATGTGGGACTTGGAAAACATTTGAGGAAAAAGAATATCCATAGATCCTAGTCACCAACTGTGTTTGCAGGAAGAAAACATTATCTAAGGGAGGACTTAAGGTTTGGGAAGGACGACCTGATAAGGAGGCAAACTGAATAGTTAGGATATAATTTCTCTTGTAACCTCACATCTTACCTACTCACTTTAATATCTCTTCTAAGTAATTGTCCTATGCCCCGTTATTTCCAATATTTAATATATTTTAGCTGAGGTTAAATACACGCTTGGCCCTATTCTAAATGCTTGGTGTTGTTTGTGATCTTGGACAAGAAGCATCTCTGAAAGGGTCAAAAGCCACGGGATCAGTGCTCTCAGAAACTTATCTCTCCTCTCTCCTCTGGTGGCTGACACAGTCCTTAAGTAATAGACTTCATGCAATGAATTCTGGTTCAAATAGATCTTTTGCTGAAATATAATTTACAAATCATAGATTTAACCTTTAAAAGCATATAATTCAGTGGTTTTTAGTACATTCAAAAATGTATGATGCTATTATCACTAATTCCAGAGCACTTTTATCATCCCCTAAAGAAAGCCTGATTCCATTAGAAATCATTCTGCATCACTAGGCCTTAGGCCCTGGCAACCGCTAACCTACTGTCTATGGATTTACCTATTCTAGACACTTCATTTAAATGGAAGCATGTACTCTGTGGCCTTTTGTGTCTGGCCTCTTTCAGTTAGCATAATGTTGTAGCACAAGAATTTCATTCTGTTTTATGGAGAAGCAATAAGTTTTTGTGCAGATGTATGTTTTCTCTTGGATATATATCTAGGAGTGGAATTGTTGGGTCATATGACAACTAAGTTTACCTTTTTGAGGAAGTGCCAAGTTATTTTCCAAAGTGACTATACCATTTTCCAAGTGAGTTACCATCAGCAATTTGTGAGGGTTCCCATTTCTCTGTACTCTTGCCAACAACACCTGTGATTATCTGCCTTTTTGATCACAGTTTTCTAGTGGGTGTGAAGTGCTATCTCATTTCCTCATAACTAATGATGTTGAGCATCTTTTCCTGGCTTATTTGCCATTTGCATATCTTCTTTGGAGAAATTCAAATCCTCTTCTCATTTTAAAGTGGGTTATTAGTCTTTTTATTGTTGAGTTGTGAGAGCTCTAAGTTGTAGGGTACTCTGTACACGAGACCATTATCAGTTATATGATTTTCAAATAACATCTTCTATTCTGTAGTTTATCTTTTCACTTTCTTGATGGTGTTCTTTGAATCACAAACTTTTTTTTTTAATTTTGGTAAAACTTGTATGTTTGGTATCATATCTAAGAAACTACTACCTTAATTCGAAAACATGAAAATGTATGTCTGTGGTTTCTTTCATCTCTTACTTCTAGGACCTTCTTTGCTCCATAATAATCTACACTGGATGAAGAGGGGGAAGGATAACATTATCAGAAGAGATGAGAGGAATAAACTGATCAGCAACTTTCACAGTAACAAGTGTTTGTCAGTGACATCTTTGTCCATCATCTAGCTTTTAGCTCTCAGTATCTAGTGACATTGTTTGCAATATCTATGCTGTAGTGTCCTTTCTCCAGCAAGTGGATAATATGTACTTTTAAGGCTAAAGGAACGGTAGGCTGACACTGGATGGTTGTATTTAAAGGGGAAATGCAGAAAGGCAGGGAAAGGTGCTAAATGCTCCTCTTTCAAGGACAGAGCTTTGCTTCAGCTAGGAGATCTGCCCCCCGGGACCATACACATCATGTGCTCTGTCTTGTCCTGCTGGGTCATTGAGTAGAATACGGAGGACAGGCTGGAGGTAGAGGGATGGAGAGTGAGAATGAGGGTCGAAGTGGCAGGAGGTGAAGCTGGTCTGGTGGGCACAAGCCAAATCATCTAAGTGTTTCTAACACCCACAGTGCCTAGCACATAAGGGGGCTCAAGAAACACATTTTGGTTTATAACCTTGGTCCAAAACTACCAAAGCTTTGCACAACAAGCCAGGCAATGTTTTTCTGGAATGGGCTGCAGAAAGGGGTAAATAAATACATGTTTGAGAAGCATACTGTAAGATGTTAGTATTCTAAAAGAAAGCAATAGCGGTATACATTGCAGGCATTTTTACTACCCCAGAGAAGTGGGTTTTCTTAGCTGAACAGATATTCACGTTTGACACTTCTCATTTTCCTCCTAGACCTACCTGGTATGTTCCCTGTGGCTTTGCAATAACAGTTGTTCCATCTCCAAAGGTGGCACAGCAGCTACTGTCCTCACAGTTGGTGATAACGGTGGCATAGTGTGAGTTTTCTACCCGCATACACTTCACCTGCCTGGTGACAGTCCGAGAACCTTCGGCTAGAAGCAAATACAAGGTAAGCAGATCTGATAGGATGTAGACATTGCAAAACAGACCTCAGCCTATTGATTTTGCTGCTGTCTCCTGGATGTCTGGATTCCCCATGGAAAAAACACAATTGTAAAGTCTAGAGAAAATGCTGAGAACTCCACAGGGTTGGAGTGTGGCCTGCTCTTCTTGTCAATTCAGAATAATTCTTCGAGAAAAAAATCTTCTTACTTAATTTAGGATGCTGTCTTATTTTCACTATTTACTTTGAGGAGTTGAGAACGTCTGATTTTTCAATGTGAAAAATTGAAAAGCACAAAATATAATTTAAGCACTCAGATATTCACCAATTAAAATTTATACTTACTATTTTGACACATAGGCTTCAATATTTTTAATACATATATACAAGAACAATTACAGATACGATTGAAGTTTTTCCTTATGCCTGGGCTATTTCTATCTTGCAATTCATTTTTATACTTTTATGTACATATGTATCATGAACAGTATATATGTGTGTGCTTTAAATGTATGCAAACTACATGTTACTCTATGTATTTATGTAATTACTGTACTATCATTCTACACCTGCTTTCTTCATTTAACACGGTTTCAAGACCTCTAACCATCTTAATCTATATGTATCTATCTCTCTATCTATCTATCAATACATATATGTGTGTGTAGATGTATTTATTTGTGTGTGTAGGATTCCCTTTAACCATCATATAGTATTATTTTGTAGGAATTTACCACAATTTATTTTTCTGTCCTGCCATTGATGGACATTTATGTTTTCTCAATATTTGAATATTATACTCAGTGTTGCCAGTCACTCCTCTGTACTTGTTTCCTTGTGCAAATGTGTATGAATGTCTCTCTCTATATAGGCAGAAATAAATTTAATACATCATAATATGTATGATTTTGTGGGTGGCATAGGGAGATGTAGGTCAATGGGTACAAGGTTACAATTATATAGGATGAATAACTATGAGAATCTAATGTATAGATAAAGACTATGGTCAATGGCATTGTATTGTATAATGACAATTTTCCAAGAGTGCAGACTTTAGGTGCTTATAACACACACACACACACACACACACACACATACACACACAGAGAGAGAGAGAGAGAGAGAGAGAGAGAGAGAGGGAGTAACTATATAGGACATAATTTGCTTGGCTTATTCAACTATGTATATGAATATCAAAATATCATGCTTTACATCTTAAATATATCCAACAAAAAATTGGCCTTAAGGACAGGGAACTCGGGGAATAACTTGTCATTAAAAATGTTGCTTTAATTTAGGTTAGGAAGAGTGGAAGGCTTTTAGAGTTTTTGAGCAGGCTCCAGTTAATTAGCAGCTACAGTTTCCTTTTCTCTGATACCAATTTTCTGACAATGAGAGACATGCTCAGACTGAAGACTTACCTGAGATCACCTATTTATGCAAATTAGATGCCTTGAGGATCAAAGGAAACATCTGAAAACTAACATCCAGGACAGATGAATCGTGAGCTAACTAGAGTTGTTATTACTCCCATCTCTGTTGAGATAATGATCATATAAAAGGTCCTAATGCATCCTCATATTCATTGCAGCATTATTCACAATAACCAAGACTTGGAATTAGTCTAAGTGTACATCAATAGATGAATAAATAAAGAAAATGTAGTAAATGTAGACAATAGAATACTATTCAGTGTTAAAAAAAGAAATCTGTCATTTGCAACAATATGGATAAACCTGGAGGACGTTACTTTAAGTAAAGTAATCTAGGTACAGAAAGACAAATAGCACATGATCTCATTTATATGCAGAATCTAAAAAAGTTGAAATCATACAAGTAGAGAGTGGAGTGGTAGTTACCAGCCACCGGGGTGAGGAGTTGGGGAGATGTTGGTTAAAGGATATAAAGTTTCAGTTATATAAGAGGAATAAATTAAAGACATATACTGTATAACATGGTGACTATAGTAAATAACAACATATTATATTTTGAAAATTTCTAAGAGAGTAGATTTTAAGTGTTCTCACAACTAAAAATAAGTCCAAAGAACAAAGATGGAGGCATCTGTGTTACTCAACTTCAAACTATACCACAGAACTACAGTAACCAAAATGGCATGGAACTGGTACCAAAACAGCAAAACAGACACATAGACCAATGGAACAGAATAGAGAGGCCAGAAATAAAGCCACACACCTATAACCATCTGATCTTCAACAAACCAACAAATACAAACAATGAGGAAAGGACTCCCTATTCAATAAATGGTACTGGGATAATGGCTGGCCATATGCAGAAGATTGAAACTGCACCCCTTCCTTACACCATATACAATAATTATCTCAAGATGAATTAAAGAATTAAATGTAAAATCCCAAATTATAAAAACCCTGAAAGACAACCTAGGCAACACCATTCTAGACGTAGGAACAGGCAAAGATTTCATGATAAATACACCAAAAGCAATTACAATAAAAGCAAAAATTGACAAGTGAGATCTAATTAAACGAAATAACTTCTGCACAGCAAAAGAAACTATCAACAGACTAAACTGACAGCCTACAGAACAGGAGAAAATATTTGCAAACTATGCATCTGACAAAGGTCTAATATCCAGCATCCATAAAAAAACTTAAACAAATGAACAAGCAAAAACCAAATAACTCTATTAAAAAGTGGGCAAAAGACTTGAACTCTTTTTAAAAGAAGACATACACATGGCCAACAAACATATGAAAAAAAGCTCAACATCACTGAACATTAGAGAAATGCAAATCAAAATCACAATGAGATACACTCTCACATCAGTCAGAATGGCCATTATTAAAAGGTCAAAAAGCAACAGATGCTGGCAAGATTGCAGTGAAAAATGAACGCTTATACACTGCTGGTGGGAACATAAATAGTTCAACCACTGTGGAAGACAGTGTGGTGATTACTCAGAGACCTGAATACAGAAGTACTATTTGACTCAATAATCCCTTTACTGGCATATGCCCAAAGGAATATAAATCATTTTTGCCATAAAGACACATAAAAACATATGTTCACTACAGCACTATTCATAATAGCAAAGATATGGAACAAACTAAACGTCCAACAATGGTAGACTGAAATAAGAAAATGGCCTACATATACACCATGGAATACTATGCAGCCATAAAAAAGAACAAGATCATTTCCTTTGCAGGAAAATGCATGGAGCTGGAGGCCATTATCCTTAGGAAACTAACACAGGAAGAGAAGACCAAATACTGCTTCATCTCACTGACAAATGGGAGCTAAATGATGAAAACACATGGACATATAGAGAGGAACAACAGATAGTGGGGCCTCTTAGAGGGTAGAAGGCGGGAGAGGATCAGAAAAAATAACTAATGGGTACTGGGTTTAATACCTGGGTGACAAAATAATCTGTACAGCAAACCACCTGACACAAAATAACCTTTATTATAAACCTACACATGTACCCCTCAACTTCAAATGAAAGTTTTAAATAAATAAACACATAAATAAAATAAAAACACGCTTGCACACAGAGAGGAGTGTGCTGGAGGAAGTTTTGGCTGCTGGGTGCTACTGGTCAAAAAAAACTTCTGAGAAAGTAGATTTGAAGTGTTCTCACAACTAAAAATAAGCATCTGAAAGTCATGCATATGTTAATTAGCTTGATAGAGCCATTTTGCAACGTATACATATTTCAACACATCATGTTATTAATTATATATATATATATACACACACACACAATATTTGTCAATTAAAAGAATAAAATTAAATTTTAAAAAGCAAACAGCAAAATAAGTAATGATGGTAATAATAAAATAAACCCCTATAGATCCTGCTTTGGACTGCATGAGTGTTCTTTGGTTGACTAACTTTACCAAAAAATTATTTTTTCTTATGAGGTGTTCAGCAGTCAGTGAGGATTCTATCTATCTTATGCTAAAGAGTTGGAAAATATTGTCATGTACTCAGAAAATAAAACTTACTTGTTTCTTGGTCATCTGGTGGAATAATCTGATCTTCAAAAACTTGATAAAAGGTTGTGATTCTGGTACCATCAGCATGATCCACTATCCGAGTACCGTCTTTCCTTTCAACTATGACGACTTTGTCTTCTCGAGTTGTTATAACCTGAATGTGTAAAGGCAGGGCATAATCATTTAGCCAGGGGCTTAATCCCAAGTGTACTTATTTTTATCCATTGAATACAAAGATGGCACCATCAAAGTCCTAGTTATTTATTTATAGGCAAAAGTTTTGTCTCATCTACCTGATCTAACCTTTATGACAATCTTGGCAGGTACCCTCATTTTATAGATGAGAAAATTTAGGCTTAGAGAAGTTGAGAAGCTTGCTTAAAGTCATGCAGCAAGTAAGTGTCAGGGCATATTTGAGGAAACACTTAACATCTGGACTGGGTTACCCCAGGTCTGTCTGGGAAAATGACCACAGGCCCTATTTACTTGGAAACTACAGAGTAATGATAAATGTGGCATACTGCGGCTGCCTCGTGCGCTGTGAAACCCCTGCTCAGCAGAAATTCTCCTGACAGGGTGAACTGCAAGATGGCCTGCAAGTATCAGACTAATGTCATCAGAGCAGTATTTGAAGACTGGTGGGGAACAGGGGCTGTAGCCTCTCTGTGTCAAGTCGACCTTCACATGTATTTGCTGCTCAGTGCCAGTGCATGCCTGTGAGCTTGAGGGTTTGAGAAGCAGTGTGTGTGGGCCACTGCTCCTGAGCTCTGCACTGGGTTGACTGCGGCTCTGTTGTGCTTGCCTCACAGTTCAGCTTCTTCCTCTGCCCATTACTGCTTTGTCTGTCTTCCTATTACTGCTTTCTCTGTCTTCCTTTCACACATACGTCCCTATTAAAATCTTGCACTCCAGACTTCACCTCAGTGTTTGCTTCTGGAAAGCTCTACCTGCAACTGCAGTACTTTAAGTTGGATAATGCATATTTCAGTCATTGGACATTTTCTAAACTTATACTGTTCTAACTCTAAGAGACACAATGCTTCACTGAAGGGTCTGGATGGAAGTGAGAGTGTGTATGCTAGTTGTTTCCTGACTCCAAATCTATGGCTATTGGGAGCAGGTGATTACCACTTTCTCAAGTCTTTATGGTAGGCAGCAATCACTGTTTAAGAGAGAAATGAATGCCGATCTTCATTTTAGGTTCTTATCATTGGCACTTTATCAGCCAGGAATGTATGCTGAGAGATACTGCTGTGTAATGTGGTGGTTGAGAGCCTGAGCTCTGGGGTTAAGTGCCTGAGTTTGAATCCCGACTCCACGGATGGTTGGGTGACTTGGGCATGTTGCTTAGCCTGTCTGTTCTCTGGTTTACTCATCCACAAAATGGAGCCAACACTAGTATCTTCTTGGAAATGTTATATGAGTTACATGAGATAATGCTGGTAAAATACTTCACACTTGGCCATCATGTTAGTAATTATTAATACCAGTTCTTTACCAAGTGGAGATATTTACATATTACGATTTAGAATTAGTCAAACATTTCATAGTGCCACATAAATAATGATACTTTCTGGTCACCATAGGATAGGATAATCATTCTTAGCAGTGGAAATCACACATTAACAAGGATATTTCTGAATGCCTGGTAGTAATCTTCCCAACAGATAATGACTGTTATCTCCAGTTTATGAATAATAAACCAGATTAAAAACTTGTCCAAAGTTATACAAGTGGTAAGAACCACGGCTAGGGCTTGAAACACAGGTCTGCCTCACCCCAATGGCAGTGTTCACTCCTTTAGAATGTAATACCTCACGTCAGGGGTTGTGAAAATACACATCCATTTTCAATTTCGTTTCATATGATCATGCCAGTTTCTTGAGATCTGGGACACAGTCCTGGGGTCTACATTCTGGCTCTACCATTTGCTGTGTGATCTTGGGCAAATTACTTAACCTTTCTGTAGCTTAGTTACCTCATCTATAAAAGGGAAACAATAGTAGTTTGTTGTGAGAATTGAGTGAGTTAGTGTATGGAAAATGCAGAGAACAGGGCCTAGTATGCAGTCAGGGCTCAGTAAATATCACTTATTGCTATTATTCTGTTGGGTATTTGGTGTTTAATTCATGCTTCTGTCCAGGTTCTTGGATGTTGGTTCATGCTTCCAAAATGGTGATAGAGATGAACGAGGGAAATTAAAAGTTAACAAAGAAATGCTAATCAAAATTGCATATTAAGCCAAATAATCTACCTCAAGGGCCGAATTAAAGTGAGTTACTTGAAGGAACTAAAACAATTTGAAAACCCACAAAACCAAAAAAACAAAACAAAACAAAACAAAACCCAACCCTTTCTGAGATCATATGTACTTTGAGTCTCATAAAGAAATGCAAATAGCAAACAAAGTAAGAGATTCTAATACTATTTCAGAAGTAGACTGAAAAGGAAAAGATGTTTGGTTAGATAATATAATCCATCTCAATAGCAAGCGGGCATTTTGCTTTTTACCAGCAGCACATGTTTTTAAACTAGGATAAGAAGTTCAGACACCAGAGTTAAGGCACCTAGGAAATTCTTCTGTTTGTTTAGATTCAGAGGGTGCTGCAAATGTCCACATAAGATATTAGAGAAATAGCTAAGGAATGGAAAGATTTCGGTTTTTGGTAAGAAACAACTGGCTCTAATCCTGGCTTCAGCACTTTTGGGACATGTGTACTCTTGACCACATTACTTAACTTGCTAAGGCTCAATTTCCTCATCTGTGTAATAGACATTTGGTATGAGGGCTGAATGAGATAATGTGTATAAAGCCCCCAAAGAAATCCTGGCACACAGAAGGAGATATTGTTCATTCCAGGAGTTTTGCTTTCATATCAAAAACAAAATCATTATGTTCTGTTCCACTGATTTGTCACATATTCTTATGCTACAAATAAAGCTTTTGTAAAGTTGCCGTATGACTTTGGATTCTTGAGTTATTTAATGTATGCCTTATCTCTTTCAATATACCATAAGTTTTTTCAAAATCAAGGATCATGAACAAATTTCTCTCACCAACTGCAAGTAGACATAAATAAGTAGGAATGCGACACTCACTTCCAGAAACCTCTCACTTCCAGAAGACATTTACACGCATACATTCAGCATTAGGAAACACATGATGACATCATTAACTACATATATCTTAAAAGTGGCATCAAGAACTCATGAACTGCTGTTCACCTCAGTAATTAGCATTTTGTTCTGACGTAGTTGTGCCCACACACACAAAAATAGTCACTAATGATACTCTCCATTTGGCAAACATACCATAAGAATGTTTTTAGATTTTGGAATATAAATCCATCCGTGTATCCATCCATCCATCCATCCATCCATTCACCCACCTACCCACCCACCCACTATTTGATACTTATTGAAAAAAACATTATTAGCTAGACTCTCTTCTAGGTGTTGTTTCAGAATTCTAATGACTTGGAAAATTTTGCAATAAATAATAGTTTGTCATACCGTTCCATTGATAGGATCTGTGGCCTGAAAGGATAACAATGGGGCCAAGTCTGCTATTCTTTCTAATCCTTTGGTGCCAATCCGTTTTCCTTCAGGTGTCGTTGTAAACCAAGTGCCTATGGGAACCTCCACAGGAGTTACTATTTGAACTATCTCTGGAGAATGGTCATGGATTTCACCCTTATGGGCCATTAATGACTGATTTTTGTGACTTTTTCCTGTGAAGTTCAAGTAAAATCAAACAATAATATAATTATAATATCAATTATATACATCATTCATTATGTTTCGATATAGTACAACTCTATCAAATATAGTAAACTACCTCAGATACTAGGTATAGGCAATTCTAAGTGGCATTCATCAATTATGCTATTTCTCAATAGGGAAAAGTACCAGGTTATGAATAGCTTAATTTCGGCACTTACACTGTGGCTAAATTCCCACCATTTTCCCCCAAACATACATATGCTTACAGAGTTCACTGTCTAGGGCGCAAAAAATATTCTGGTCAACTTCTGTACTCTTTTGGGTTCTGCATACTTCTCCTGGATCCCAGATTTGGGGTTTTACTTTCTGGTTTTTGAAGCCTACGTTTTCTCCCACTTACCTGTCAAACTTTCAGATTCCTTTTGACTTATTGGACTGTAACAGTGATTAAATCTCTAACTCTGGATTCCCCTGATTTTGCCATTTTGTCAGTAATAAAAGGAAACATCTTCCTGTGACCCTGGATCTGGGAAACCTCACCAGCCAGGCATATCCCTGGGGAGAGGAATTTGTGCAGTTTAATTAGTACATCAATAACTGTCTGATACATCTTCCTCTCCATCCACTACCTCCCATTCATTTGGAACAGGAGGAGAGAACTGAAGACACCCTCATGGAACACCTTGACCAATATTTCAATTCCTCTATCAGGGTAGACGTATGCCACTTCCAAGAATAATAATGAGTAATCTGTAGATGAGACTTGACGGTGTGGTCACATCTCAGTGATGAGGTAAACTCAGACCCAGAAACAAATTGCAAGTAATGATAGTGAAGGAATGTTAACTCTTGGAAGATTCTCCAGATTCAAACCATGAACTATACAGCAGGGCATGTATCTCAACCTAACTAATAGGGACTCAACTAATGGGAAGAACCAAAGACAGATAAATCAGGTTGAGCCTTTTCATTGCCCTAAAATTTTATTTGAACATATTTATACTTCTAGAATATTGGCTGAGAGTAAAAATGATATCGCTTTCAGAATAAAGAGAAGATGCTCTAGAAATAGCAAGAAATACTTTAGGAATTATCTTTTTTTTCTACATTCTCCCTTTTTCTCCTCTTTCCATTCCCTCTCCTTCTCTTCTTATTACTTTTTCTAATCAAAAGAGGTGAGCTATCAAAAGGACATTCCAACATAAGAAACATAAGAAATAGAATGGGGTAGAGAATAGCATGATGTACACAGACAACCGCTAGCAGACCACTGTGAAAAGAGAATACATTTCAAGCAGATTTTGGTTGAGAGAAGGGACTGGAGAGTTAGGCACTGATTCAGTTGAGTGGTCTTCAGCAGAATGTTAGAGACCTTGACATTTTTCCTACAGGTGATATTTAGTAACTAAATTGTTATAAGAGAGAAAGTGAGGTATTCAGAAGATTAGTTACATGCTTTTGGCAGGAAGATGCAAAATCAATAGTAGTAAAAGCAGGAAGAACAGTTAGAAGGTTTTAAAGTATTAGAAGTTCAAGTTGGCAGAAGAGAGAAGTACAATTTTGACACAAATATAGATTGGGGAACAAATTTGCATATGAAAGGATGGGGATGGCTGTGGAAGGTGGAAGGATAAGAGGAAGAATCACATGCAGGTCCTGAAATCTTAATCAAGTTGTCTTCTATCAGGTATATAGGTCAACAAAGCACACTGGCCAAGGATCAGGTCAAAGGGAAGAGAAAAGAAACATGCAGGGTTGGAGTTCCATTTTCAGCAACACCACAGACTAGATACCAACAATTCCATTGAAAAGAACCAAAACTGCTAGAAAAACATCTTTTAATCAATCTTCTTAAAAGTGTCTATGAGCTGACAACTATAAGGAAGATCAACACAAGCCATGGACTAGGGGTAAAAGTAGGAAGCCGAAGAGGTAAAATAGTTCTGAAGTTGGATTTTGCCTAGTGGTTTTTGTTAAATTGGGTGATTCTGAGTATTTGTTTTTTTTCTTCTTTGGAGGATCACCTGAGGCCAGGAGTTTGAGACCAGCCTGGCCAACATGGTGAAACCCCAGAGTACTTGTTTTCTTAGCACTGTGGGACTTAGGGAGAAATGAATGGCTGAACCTGCACAATCTGGATGGAAGGCTTGATACAAGGCCCTCAAATGACTACCCTCTCAGACCAAGTGTGAATTGTTAACAGAAGTCACTCATGTCTTTTCCCACCCCACTCCAGCATCGTCAGAAAACTTGCCTGTGTTCAAACTTGGTGCTGAGCACAGAGGACAAAAAAGTGCTTAAGAGGTTGTATAACCACAAGTAGATCCTCATATAGGTTTGAAGTGAAAATTCACACCACTCGAGTGGCATCCCCAGAAATTTCTTAAATTAATAATTTAAAGTGATCCAAGACTATTGGTTCTCCTATCAACTAATAAAGTCCTAAAGTTCTTTCTGAAACCAAAGTCCTTTCTAAAGAAATGCACTATTGGCCAGGCACTGTGGCTCACACCTATAATCCCAGCATTTTGGGAGGCCAAGGCAGGAAGATTGCTCGAGCCCGAGTTTGAGACTAGCCTGGGCAACATAGTGATACTTCATTGCTACAGAAAAAAAATAGCTGGCACTGGTGGTGCCTGCCTATTGCATGATGGTACAAGCCAACTTTTCAATACCAACATTGGAAGCAAGAGAGTATAAAGGATATTGCCAATGCACTGAGAGAAAATATCTGTAATCTAGAATTCTATACCTAGTGAAGTTATCTTTCAAGAATGAGGACAACATAAAGGCATTTTTAGAAAATATTTGGTATAACATAAATGGACTAAAACCTCCAAAGACAAGTGCCAGCTATTCTGGAGGTTGAGATGGAAGGATTGCCTGAGCCCGGGAGGTTGAGGCTGCAGTGAGCTGTGCTCATGCCACTGCACTCCAGCCTGGTAGAGTGACAGAGTGAGACCATGTCTCAAAAAAAAACATACTTTTATACCAGCCCAGGAATTTAGAATTAAAGCGTTAAGAAAAAATTATCATCTGAATCAAAAAGTACCAAGACACAATGAAACTAAGCAATTCAGGGGAGAGCCAGAAGAAGCAACAGAAAATGGAATTAGATCTACAATATTTTAGATATTGAAATTATCAGACACAGAATCTAAAATGCATACTCAATGTGATTACAGAAATAAAATGGGGACAAAAATATGACTAAAGAGAAGACAGATTACAAATAAAACAAAGAAATGTTAGATATTAAAAAATGTAATAACTGAAATTTAAAAAAATTAACATGTAGGTTTAGCAGCAGACAACATGGAGCTTAAAAGACAACTGAAAAAGAGACCTAAAGTAATTGTCTAGAATGAAGCTCAGAGAATCAAAGCAATAGAAGTAAAAAAAGAAAAGTTCAAGGCCTCTACTACATGTTTAATTGGAATTCCAGAAGAAGAGAAGAAAAAAGAAATGGATCAAAAACAATATTTGAAGAGATAATTACTGAGAAATCTCCAGGATCAATGATAAATATAAATTTACAGATTCAAGGAGCAGAATGTATTCCCACATTGGTAAATAAAAAGAAACCCATATCTAGTCAAATTATATTGAAATTGTAATAAAAAACCACAGAGAATATTTTAAAGGCAGTTACATTATCCTTAAAGCAACACAATTTAAATGACAGCCAACTTTTCAACAGCAAAATTGAAAGCAAGAAAGTATAAAGGATATTTTCAATGTACTGAGAGAAAATATCTATAAGCTAGAGTTCTATACCTAGTGAAATTATCTTTCAAGAATGAGGACACCATAAAGACATTTTTACAAAATATTTGGTATACAATAAATAGACTAAAGCCCCTAAAAACAAACATTTTCAAATTCAATTATTAAAATATTCACCTACTTGTTGCTTACAAGAGACACATGTAAACATAAACCACAGAAGGTGAAATGTAAGTGTGGGAAAAGTTATACTGGTAAGGTATTAAATAGAGGCTGGTGTAGCTATAATAAAATAAGCAAAATAGACATTAGGGTAAAAAGAATCCTAGAATAAAAAGTTATTGCAGGCCAGGCACGATTACTCCCAGCACTCTGGGGAGCCGCGGTGAGTGGATCACTTTAGGTCCAGGGTTTGAGACCAGGCTGGCCAACATGGTGAAACCCTGTCTCTACTAAAAATGCAAAAAAAAAAAAAAAAAAAAATTAGCCAGATGTGATGGCATGTGCCTGTAATCCCAGTCACTTGGGAGGCTGAGGCACAAGAATCGCTTGAACATGGGAGATGGAGGTTGCAGTGAGCCAAGATCATATCATTGGCATTCTAGCCTGGGCAACAGAGTAAGACTGCATTTTAAGAAAAAAAAAAAATAATGCATAATGATTAAAGGCTAAATTCATGCAGATATAATAATTCTAAATCTATAAATATCATCATATCCTTAAAATATGTAAAGAAAAATGGCAGAACAATAAAAAAGACATATTTACTTCACAAATAAAGAAATAATGATTAAATTTTAAGGAGTACAGCACCAAAGAGACTATTCTATCTTTTCAGGAAATTTAAACGTACTTTTGCTAAGTAAATTGATGTAGCAGACTTTAAAAAATATATAAGAATATAGAATAGGGGTTGACAAATTGTGTATTATGGACAAATAAGGCCTGCTGTCTGTTTCGTACAGTCTGTGTGAAGTAGTAATTTTTTCTACATTTCTAAATAGCTAATAAAATAAATAGTAATAATTTGTAACATGAAAATTATATAAAATTTGAATTCAGTATATTTAGTGTACATAAAGTTTTATTAGAACACAACAGATCCAGGCTTATTTAATAACATATTGCCTGTGGCTGTTTTTATGCTCCAATGGCAGAGTTGAGTAGCTGTGACAGCGACCATACGACCCACAAAGTCTAAAATATTTACTGTCTGGCCTTTCACAGAAATGTTTGCTGGACTCAGATACAGATCTGTACATTAAAACTAACACATTTCACCTAATAAATATAAAGACAACATTGTACCACATAATGACAAGATACGTGCTCTTTTCACGCACAATTTAAAAAACTAGACCATGTATAAAATCATAGTTAAACAAACTTTTAAATTGTTAGTCAAAAATAAATTATAAAAACAAACTAGAAACACCTCATAGGCTTGAAATCTAGAAGTAAGTTTAAATAATTCAAGGGTCAAATAAAAAGTTTTAATGGAAATAAGTAGTTAGAATTGAAAAATAATATGAATACTAAATATTTCTTGTGAGATGGGATACACTTCTGGAATGACAAGTGAAGACCAGGGAAAGTCTACCCCTCACTAAAAACTATGAGAATGTTTTTAAGAAGAATCAAAAGGAACTTTTTCAGAACTTTGAAAATTAAACAAAGAATTGCAACAATCTGAGGAACAATTCAAGAAAAATGGCTGAATCTCAGTAAGAAAAGTTGCTTTGTGTTTTATAACTTAAAATTTTTTTTGATAAAATATTGTCTATAATATTTCATTTAATTGATGTAATATTATTCTGTGATAAAAAGAAATGAGCTATCAAGACATAAAAAGACAGAAAGGAATCTTAAATGCATATTACTATGTGAAAGAAGCTGGTCTAGAAAGGCTACATAAGGTATGATTCTAATCATATGACATTCTGGAAAAGGCAAAACTATAATACAGCAATAAAAAGGTGAATGGTTCCCAGGAGTTTGGTGGGGTAGGGTGTGTGTGGTTCAGGATAGGTGGAATAAGAAAGGTGAATAGGTAAAGAGGGATTTTTAGGGTGGCAAAATTACTCCGTGTGATACAGGAGACAAAGAATGTACAACAGCAAGAGTGGACTCTAATGTAAACTATGTACTTTAGTTGATAATAATGTAAGATTGGATCATCAGTTGTAACAAATATACAACACTAAAGCAAGATGTCAATAACTGGGGAAACTGTAAGCAGAGTAAACAGGAACTCTCTGTACTTTCCGCTCAATTTTCCTGTAAACCTAAAACTGCTCTAAAAATAGTCTATGAATTTAATAAAGTGAGTAGATCATCTTGGATGAAAGGGCTGTGAAGAAATCTGGGGCACATTGTGCTAGAAGCAGAGGTCCTCCAGAACCGGGGGAACTCTTAGAGAAGTGGCTGTACAGACTAGTCTTGTATCAAGTTCTCTGTATCAACAAAAGAGGGAACCCTGAGCCAGGAAGTTTGGAACGCTATCTGGATACTTCTGTAACAAGAAATCTTCTGCTATTACTGAAGGAAAACCTGTTTTACTAAATTTTGAGTAATTAAAAAGTAATCCAGTTGCTTCCATACAATATTCCTGGGTACTGTGGTAAGATGTGTAAAATTGACAAAAAAGGATTAAATCTAGGTTTCAGATCATTAAAGGCATAAGAGAAATTGAGAAAAGTTTGTGAGGCATGAGAGGGAGTGTGATTTAGGGACCTACACTCAAATCCCACCTCTACTACTTGCTAGCTAAAAGACCTCAAAAAAATTACTTAATCTCTCTGCCTCAATTTTCTCATCTGTAAATTGGAGATTATTAAAATATGTGGCTCACAGAGGATTAGCTGATTTAATAATTGAAATATTCCGATTTTTTCCTGATACACAAATATACACCTTCTATATAAAAATATCTCTTACAAATTAATATGAAAACGATGACCATCACAATGGTAAACCAAGGAAAGTGTAGGAAATTCACAAGATGAAAAAAAAAACCACAGTAAACATCTTTAGATGTTTAGCCTCACCAGTAATTAAAGAAATGCAAAAGAGCATAATAAGATGCACTGGTTATCTATTATGTTGAAGCAGATTAATAGAGTGATAATATCTCTATTATCATGGCATTGGTGAGGGTATGAGGAAGTAGATATTTTCATACTGTGCTAGTGGTAGGGGTATAAATTGAAAGCACTTCTCAGGACAACAGTCTTGCATTTTAGATTATGGCAGACCCTGTTCATTGTTTATCCAAGTAGTGTCCACCTTCTTTTTTCCCTACTTAGTAGTGCTGTCTTCTGAGAAAGAGGCTAAAAATGTCAGATACTCTTTTTCCCAACCTTGGTCCCCGGCCAGGTCTAGTCAGTGACATAAAGACAGGTCTGCTGGGGTGAGGGTTGGAGTTCTAGAACTTTTTGCCTTCCTGATAAACAGAGAAACTTGAAGAAAGCTCTTGCATTTGCCCTCTTTTCCTGGAAGTTGCTGAATGAGGGCCTCATGCCTGGAGTTGATGTATTTTCTTGCAACTGTGAGGAAAAGGTCAAGAGAATCACAGAGAGGCCTACTCATAATCTTTACAGCATCATTCTGCCCTGTCAACCCTAAAACAGCAGCCTAGGCATTATATCTGATGTGTAAGAATATTGAACAACATATGAAAATGTTCATTATTTATTACTAAGAGAAAAACAGTTTATGAAGCAGTAATAATTCTGTGATAAAGAGGATTCATGTATATATATGTATAAGAAAATATATGAATATATTCATAGAAAATGTTAAAAGTATAATAATAATAAAATTGAACACTTATTAAGCCATTGAAAACTTTACTAAATCCATTACAAACTGAGAGGCTTCAATTGTTACCTTTCTTTGCGTTGGTAACATCAGACGGTGCCCTTTCTGATTTCTGCTGAGAAACAGAGTCCAACAAATCTCCACAGTGAGGGCTTGCTGGCATTTCAGGAGGACAAATAAGACCTGAATTGGGACTATTGCTCACAGCACCATCTGCAAAGAGAATCTGAAGAACAAAAGTTCTCAGCATCCTCAGAAGCAAGGAAGAACTTGGTTAACAATAAATACTGTGCGTCAAATGAAAATAGGTTCAAAATGATCCGCAGAAGAAAGGCTGTCTGCAGACCTCCAGACCCAGCAGCACAAAACGGATTCTAGAAAGGTAGATTTGGAGTTCAGAGACAATAGCCTAATTCCCACTGTAATGATATTATTTTATATTTTTTATTTACCTTCTATTTTGTTTCTTTTCTTTTTATTTCCATCTTTGCTTGGATTGATTGGAGTTTTATTTTTTCCATTCTTCACCTTTCCCCTTTGCAACTGGGAAATTATATACTCTATTTAAATTTTTCGAATGACTGTATTTAAAATGTTTGCACATATTTAAACTTGTAGTTTCTTTTAATATCTATCTAGTACGTATAGCGTCTCTAGGTGCCATAGATACATCTACCTGATACCGGTATCTAGACACCCCCAACGAACTTGACAAGGACCAACGTCAGTGTTGCTGATGAGAAGTCAAATGTTTATCCGGTTCTTATTCATGTATAGGTAACTTGCTTCCTTGAGGAAACTTTTAAGATTGTGTATACAGTCCTAAAATTGCATGACTGGAATATTTAGATAATTCTTTAAAGATAATTAATATCAGTTCTGATTATCATTTGGTTGCCTGGTTTAATCTGAAGTATTTTTTTAAGCTCTGGGAAAATTTCTTACGTTATATCTTTCTTTTCTCCTTTCTTACTATTTTCTTCTTCTGAAAATTATGGACTCTTTTTTCATATCTCTCAATATTTCTCACCCTCATAATCTACCCCCTCCCATTTTTGATTATTCAGTTATTTCTAATTTCTAAGAACTCTTGATATTCTTCCTTAGCTACTTTAAAAAAAGTTATTTTATGAACTATTAACCTCTCAAATTCTGCCTATATTACTTTTATCCCTTTTTAGTTTTTGAAAGTATTTAATTTCAGGGGCTATTTCTTTTATTTATTGAATTATGTACTTTACTTTTATGGGATTGCTTTCTTTCCAAGATTTAGAACTCAAGTCCATGGTCATCTTTCTGAGAATCCCTTTTCACCTCTTGTGGTGTAGTGTCTGGTCACAGGAGCTGCTGTTCTGTGATCATTGGGGAAAGAAAGAACAGGGCATATGGCTTCTGATTTTTAAGGTTTCTCATTCCCATCCTCCAGGTGACAGTGAATTACCTGGGGAACTACCCTCATTTTCTGAGCCCAGAGCTCCATGTGTAAAACATTTGTGTTAGAACTCCCATTTTGATTTTTAATTTTGCTGCATATTTTCCTCTTGTGTATGTTTTAACTTTGCGAATATTTCTCCATCAGATTGGTCTCATCTGATTTGTATTTTTTAAAGAAATTCTCCAAATCTTCTATTATTGATGAGATCCTTTGCTGTTCTCTAGTACCATTATGAATTCCTTATGTAATTTTTTAAAATTAATTTAAGATACCTTGAGAGGGAGAAAAGGAAAAAACTGTGTTTAGTTTGCAATCTTAGATCATGTAGAGAAATGACAAGTTTATTCGTATCCTGCTCCGCATAGTGTTTTTTTATTCTAACTATATTATTCATCATTTGTCATTCCTTTTTCAATTGAGTTGTCCCTTCTCCCTGCTACAGAACTGTTCCTTACTCATAACCTGTCTTTTACTTTGGAACAGGGAAGAATAATTTCTCCAACACATTCTTTTACCTGTGTGGATCCATCCAACATATATTTGACAACAGTGCCTTGACTGGTGATAACCCTCGAAGCCTCCTGCTCTACTGGTGGCATCACCGTTTTATAGAACTCATAGTGCTTCACCCTCTGGGGGTAGCTCTGACGGACCATGATGTCCCACGTGGGTTCCTCATCTATAACATATTGACCTACAACAAGAATAAACCTTTCTGTGAACTGGGCAATACTGCAGGGCTGGGATTTTATCTTCTTGCTTAATCATTTTCTTTTTCTTTTCTTTGTTTTAAGAATAGAGACAAGTTCTCGCTTCGTCACCCAGGCTGGAGTGCAGTGGTACAATTGTGGCTCACTGCAGCCTCAAACTCCTGGATTCAAGCCTCCTGAGCAGATGGGACTACAGGCTTGCACCACAACACCCTGCTAAGTTTTTCTATTTTTTGTAGACACAGGGTCTCATTATGTTGGCTAGGCTATAAATCCTGGCCTCAAGCAATCAAACTCCTGGTCTCAAACTCCTGACCTCAAGCAATCCTCCCACCTCAGCCCTCCAAAGTGCTATTATTACAGGTGTGAGACACCCTGCTTGGCGCGTAATTATTTTCTTTTGTCTGCATGTGAATAAAAGAGCAGTTTCCATGTTATGACAGATGGCCTAGAATACTGGCTCTTTGCTGACCTTGTTATATTCAATGGTAGTAAATTAGGTCATCTACAACACCTAGTAGGTACCTTCTCCATGTGTAAGCCAGTCTAATAAAATTCAACACAGTTTAGGGAGAAATTATGAAAGAAGCAGAGTTTTGCTGAATTAGGTGTTTCCTCTTCCTGCTCACTGGTGCTCATCTCTCACCTTTGACACACACGCTGCCCTGGTGTTGCCTGGTTGCCCATAGCCCCAGGAGAAGTCACTCCCTCAGTCTTGCCTCTCCTAAGTTACTGTCATCTTCCAAAGTTAACGTTAACATGATCCCCTCATCTCTAACCAAATCCAGATTTATCTTAGCATTCTGCTATCAGCTGGCAATCAAGGAGAAAAGCACCTAATAAGCTCCTTCAAAAAGCGGGCACTATTATGGAGAAATTCTGGCGTACTGTACCTAGTCAGGCTTTGCTCTTAATTTATAATGTGGTTTATTGGGGCAAAAAAGCCTTAACACAAAGGAATTAACCCTAAATAATAGCATTTTAAGAGGTACATATCGGGCTGGTGGGAAAATCATGGCACTCCTTAAATCACAGAAGCAGTAATAATAATGATAAACCAATACACATTTATTGAAATATTTCTATATGTTAAATGCTTTATATCGAGTCTGCCTTAGACTCAATATAAAGCATTTAAAGTAGACATTTTGATATTCCAGGGTTTTCAGATGAAGAAATAGAGGCTTGGAGAGGTTATTAACTTAGAAAGTTATAACTCTGGAAGATACTTAGTGACCATCCAGCATGATGTAAGAGAGTGAGCAAGAGAGCTGGGATTTGAACCATTTTCTTATATTATAAAAGCAACCGCCACTAACAAGCTAAAATAAAACAGAAAAACCCCAAACACACACACACACACACACACACACACACACACACACTAACATCTGAGAAATACGTTTTGAGTGAAAAGTATTTTCTCATTTCATTCCAAAGTCACTCAGGAAAGGATTCAAGTCTAGGCTCTTTCCTCTTACGCTATGATAACTGTCTCTCCCTAATGTCCAAGGCTGACCCTGATGAAGATATTGCTACTTTGGTATTTATGTTGTTATGTTCAGACTTGAATTACGATTTTCATAATATATGAATGATTTTAAACAGATGAATTATTATTAACTATATTGTCTACCCTAACACAAAGATGAAAATATTAGGGTAGATAATGAAACTTATAGAAAAGACAGGTAAAAGAGGTACTAAGCTGGAGTTTGCTAACAGGATCAAACAAGCAAACACATATATCCTTGAATTTGAAAGCAACATGTCTTTGCATACACTCATAGGTCTTAGACTGGAAGACACTTAGTGACCATCCAGCACGGTGGGAAAACCTGGGCTACTAGGGACCCTTGGGAATGGAACAGGGTCCATGGGCTATTTTTAATAATTCAGAATGCCTACAGAGAAGCAAAATTTAACTTCAACATTTAGTTTCTGTTTTTTTGGGGGGAGGGGGCTGGCAAGTAAATAAAGCATTAAATTATTTTTAAATGAGCGTAGCCTTTTTCTCTGACAGATACACTTTTCAAATGTGGTATACATAAGGGAATTACATGAAAGAGGATATGAAGCTGTGAAAATGTAAAGTTCCACTGACGTAACAGTTATCAGGTGAGAACACACGGCCCTAAGAGCCTAAGTAACTGAAAAGGGCCACGTCAGTCATTGGCATCAGGGTCAGCTTTAGAACTCCAGTCCCAGTTCAGTGCCTGCTTTGCTGCATCTCCTACTTCTACTGCAACAGTGAGTTTCTGTTTAAATGATAATCAAATTCAGTTACAAATGCAGATGTCACATCAGGTTAATTAAAGAAATCTTACTTGTACTTATTTATTCAGCTGAAGAAGTTAGGAGCCATGTACAGAACCAATAGAGATAACACACTATAAAATTATATACTGATACATGGAAATAAAGACTTGGTTTTCTTAACTCAGTTAATCCACATCTATCTCTATGTACTTTGTGTCCAGCATCATTTGGTTTGGTCAGACCAGCAACATGCTGCACCTCTGCAGAGGCGAGAATGTAGGGATACACACAAGTCTTTAAGAGCACTGTGTTTGTCATCATCGGGTTGAGAATGGTATTTCAGCTCTGCCACTTGGGAGTCAAGTGATCTTGGGCAAGTAACTGAGCCTCCTGAAACCTCAATTTCCTTATTTGGTAAAATATAGTAGTTAGTATCCAGCTCATAATATTTGTATTTTTGACATGTATACTAAGTATTTAGACAGTGCTTGGCCATAGTAAATGCTAAAAAATGTGAAAATGGCCCACTGTTCATCATCAATAAGACATATGTTTAACTGGTAAGAAAATACACAATTACCAGTGGTGATTTAACTGTTTTCAAGATGACATTTTGCTCCCTGCTTCCCCACCCTACCCCATATAGCACACACCTGTAGATTCTTGCGCAATGAAAGTCAACAGGAGCCCACTGGGGCAAGACACATTTAGGCTTTGGAAGGTGGGAACATCAAAAGTCTCTTGTAAAACAGGTTCTGGTTCTACTTCTTCCTGTAAATAATTTAGCATATGAATAATCGGTTGTCATTTTCTAAATGAGCTATTATTTATTTTGACTAAGCAAGGATGTGCTGAGTGCTGAAGACATGTGCAGAGCTCCGTGGACCCTGCAAGGATGCATGCGTCTCTGTGGTTTTGCAATTTATATTTTATTTGAAGAATGGCACATAGACAGGTGAGACAAATGGCAGTAACAATAGTTGACACATCTTTTCTCAGAAAATAGAGATATAGTGAAAGTTAATAAGAACAATTGGGAAAGGACTTGCGGAATAATTGGGGCTTGAAGTAGGCCTTGAAAGATGCCTCTGCTTAGACATATAAGTGTAAGGGCAGTGCTGGCATCTGAATGTTGGTGTCCCCCACCCAAACTCATATGTTGAAACCTAATACCCACTGTGACAGTGTTAAAAGGTAGGGCCATTTAGGAAGTGATTAAGTCATGAGGGCTCCACTCTCATGAACGAGATTCGTGCTTTTAAAGAAGAGGTTGATGGGAACACCTTTGCTTCTACCTCTCCTGCCATGTGAGTACACATTGAAGACACCATCTGTCTGAGGAACAGCTGGGCGTGGTGGTTTGTGGGTGCAATTCCAGCTACTTGAAAGATTTAAGTTCGGATGATCACCTGAGGCAAGGAGTTAGAGACCAGCCAGGGCAACATAATGAGATCCAATCTCTTTAAAAATTTAAAGAATTAGCCAGGTTTGATGGTGCATGCCTGTAGTTCCAGCTACTGGAAATGCTGAGGTGGGACAACTTCTTGAGCCCAGGGATTTGAGGCTGCAGTGAGTTATGACCACATCACCATACTCCAGCCTGAGTGACAGACCAAGAACCCCATCTTAAATAAAATAAAGGAAGGTAAAATAAGAGAAACAGGCTCTCATCAGACATCAAATCTGCTAATATCTTGATATTGGACTTCACAGCCTCTTGAACTGTGAGCAATAACTTTTGATTGTTTATAAACCACCCAGTCTAAGGTTTTTT